TAGCCAGATTTACCACTGGTCGTTGAAAAATAGCCAAGTTTCAAAAGTCATCGAAATTTAGCCACTTTAAATCTGAGCGAAAACACTTTTCAAAATCCGAAAAAATACGCCCGTAAATTTTACGGGAGTTCCAGCAAGTATAATTGTCCAGTATAATATACTGGAGTTTGGAGCACTGGTGCTCCAGTCTCCCGCAAATTTTACAGGAGTTAGCAAAATATACCGGTCCAGCATAATATGCTGGAGTTCGTACACAAATGCACCAGAACTCCCGTATATTATACTGGACCGGTCCATGTTGCAGCAAAATAGTGACTATTTTTCATTGACTTGATAAACGCCGGCTATTTTTCATTGACCAGTGTGAAAGCTGACTATACCATGATATTTTAACCAATTTTGAGCACAAATATGGCCACCAAAGGCCCAAATCGGACAGCCCACTCCCCATCAGATTTTCAACACTACGAAAACCTAACATTTTTTCGGGACTCTCGGAACTCGAAGAAAGAAAATTGAAAAAAAAGATACACACACACAGAACTAGAGAGAGCAGCCGCCACCCTCAACGAACTCCAGCAGCGGCGCCACCCAATTTCACCGGGAACAGCCGCACCACCAACCCTCTTTCCGTCATTAATTCGCCGGAAACACACACAACATCAGTAATCTTTCTTCCTTTTATTCATACTCCAATTTCTTCCATAGCCACCTAAAGAACACTAGGTTGCTCCTTGGTCACTAAAAAATTCAAGGCCAAGTACAAAGTAACGCCTCTTTCAGTCATTTCTGCGATTTCCTTTCCGGAAAATTTTGTCGTTCTCGTTTGAAGTTCTGATTAGCTCGAGAATTCCGTTAGGGGTGTCCATTCGCGGTTTGCAGTCTCCGCTCGAGGTTCGGGTGCCGTTCTTGCTTGCCGATTTTATTTTTCAATCAAGGTTCAATTCTTCTATCTCACTCTTTGTTTCAAATGAATTAAAGTTTGATTGATTATCTGATTCATGTCTCTCCGTGTTGGTCTATGTTTAACATGAATTTGAACTTAATTTGTTGTCAGATTCTCGTCCCTTTTGTGCTTAGAATTCTCTGTTGGCAGTGACATTTGATAGCAAAGATGAAGGTGAATTAAGTCTTAAGATACTCTTTTAGAAAAAGAATAGTTGCGAAATTAGATACAAGATTCTAAGTTGGAGAACTAAGGAGAAATAATAGGCTGTGGGATTTGTGGGCTAAAATGAAAGTGAATTAGGCTAAAGTGATATTGGATTGAGTAACGATTTCAACTGAATTTTGTGACGATTGGAGTTGTATATTGTTTGGATCTTGCTTATTGATGTGATTTTGGGTCGTTAAGAGCATGTTAGGCCGTCATTATTTGGGTAGGCAATCTTAGGTTTTTTTCTATTTATTCGCGTTTGGTTTCGAGCTGAGAGGTCACCCATTTAGTTAGTTAATTCAACAGGGGAATGCCCCGTGTAATTTGTAAATATTTATCCGGGAAATGCCCCATAGAATCATGTAATCGGAGGTCGTGATGAGTATTGCGGAGGAAGTGTAGTGTAGGTAGTTTAAAACTTTAATTTTTCTTTTTTTCTTTTTATTTTCTTTATTTAGGCAGGGGCAACCTCGAAGCCTTTTGTGTGTTTATTTTTGTATTGTTTGTTTTTGCCTCAATTCGAATATCCTTTAAAGCCAACTCGATCATGTACACAACCGTGAGTTTTATGAGACTCGGGAATGCCTAACACCTTCTCCTCGAGGAAAATGAACCCCTTATTTGGAATCTCTGGTGCCGTCAGTTTTTAGAGTCAAATGTGTTTTGAAGGAAAATTTGTATTTTTTTTTTATAAAAAAATGGTGACCTGGCCCAACGAAATCAAATGTCAGGTGGTGGCGACTCTGAAAAATCCTTCAAAACACAATCTTTTGTCACTTTTCAAATTGAAAAACCCTTTTGAGCTTTAAAATCACTTTTTATCTATTTTAATGGGGTTAAGAGGTAAAAAAAAGGGGGTGTGACACCATGTCGTCTAAAAATTTGAACTTCTATTTATTTCACTGCTTCCTTTTTCACAGATTGTAAAATTGTGAACAATTCACCACAAGAATTAGAAGATTTTGTTTGTCTTGTGAATCAAGAACTGATTTTTTCCCCTTTAGGTAAGGTAGTCACTAGGCTGGATCAGGTGGGTGGTGAACAAAGCTCAAAAGATTTCTTGGAAGTTGTGAAAGAGAACATCACATCAAAGTTTAAAATGTTCAAAACACCGACTTCTTGAAAGTTGTGAAAGTTATATATAAAATGATTGGTTCAAATATTGTGGAACATCTCAAATAAAAAGAGTATCAGATAAATTAGAAAGGACGGAGTATTTATTTTAGGCTGTCTTTGAACCCCTGCCTACTTTGATACCATGTCGGAATTAGTGTATTGTCATCAGTGAAAAGAGTATCACATAAATTAGAAAGGACGGAGTATTTATTTTAGGCGATCTTTGAAGCTCTGCCTACTTTGATACCATGTCGGACTCTGTTTACTGTCATCTAAAAGGCAAGACACCTTTTGTTTATTTAATTTAGGTCTTTGCAACGAAAGAAAGCTAGCTGCAAATGGAGTTTTGCCCAGATTGTTCAATGTTACTGCAGTATGAGTTGCCTCATATGGATCGTCCAGCCAGATTCTTTTGCCCTTCGTGCCCTTTTGTATGTAACATAGAGACCCGGGTAAGATAACCAGAAAAATTTGTTATAATTGATAATGCTTGATAGCTTTTAGTTCCTTTGATTATCTGTTCAGTTGGTTTACTTTTTTTTAATTACACCTTTTTTGATAGCTTAAGCTGAAGAAAAAGCAAGCTTTGGTAAAGAAACAAATGGATCCAGTGATTTCGACAGATGACATGGAGAATGCTTCAACAGCTGAAGGTCTTAGCACTTTCTGTTCCTATAGCTTCTTGGTATTTTCATGATTTGCTGCCACTGCTTTCATTCTTTGATCTAAGAATTAGTTGTTCGATGAGCTAGTGTTGTCCTCTGACTAATAGAATATGTCTTGACCAACTTTTCCTCATCTAAAATTAATAACCAAATTGTTGCTGATTATTTCGAAAAACCTCTGGAGTACTAATAGTTAGAGAAGAAAGATGTGCATATATAATATTGAATGTTTTATGTTCTTGTAATTGGTTGTCCATTTGAGTTTAATGGGCTTTAGAACATAGGGTATAACTAGCTCTTGACTCCTTGTTTTATAAGGATAAAGCAAAACTTAAAGTATCAGTAAATATAGGCCCTTCCTCTAAGCACTTGTAATGGATTGAATATTCTGATAGGATTTTATATTACTGGAGTAATAATTAATATAAAAAAATAAACTAATACTTCATATATTATCATTTGACAGCTGATATTTGTTGGTTGTGTGGTTGAATGTCTCTGAAGTGCACTTTTGATTCTTGCAATCACATTCTTTTTTATTAATTTGTTGGTTTTGTTTGATTGGTCAAAAAAAAATACTTCTTCTATTAATCCTTTCTATGTCACCTGTTTGTTGTTCCATAATTCTATAAGTCTTGAGTATTAATTTATGTTGTCTTGGATTTTTGGTTTCTAGGTTGTTTGAGCAAATGAATTGATTAGTATTCTAATAACTTGTCTCCTTGGTCCATATATTTGTATTTTCTTTTTACGGTAGTATTTACTCGTA